TCTCTACTGGTGTTGTAGGACCTCTCTACGGTGTTGTAGGGCCTCCTCACTGGGTTATAGGACCTCTCTCTGGTGTTGTAGGGCCTCTCTCACTGGTGTTGTAGGCCCTCTCTCTGGTGTTGTAAGGCCCTCTCTCACTGGTGTTGTAGGACCTCTCACTGGTGTTATGCGACCTCTCTCACCTGCTGTTGTAGGGCCTCTCTCACTGGTGTTGTAGGACTCTCACTGGTGTTGTAGGATCTCTCTCACTGGTGTTGTAGGGCCTCTCTCACTGGTGTTGTAGGCCTCCTTCACTGGTGTTGTAGGATCTCTCTCACTGGTGTTGTAGGGCCTCTCTCACTGGTGTTGTAGGACATCTCTCAATGGTGTTGTGGGGCCTCTCTCACTGGTGTTGTAGGGCCCTCTCACTGGTGTTATGGGACCTCTCACTGCTGCTGTAGGGCCTCTCTCACTGGTGTTGTAGGACATCTCTCACTGGTGTTGTAGGGCCTCTCTCACTGGTGTTGTGGGGCCTCTCTCACTGGTGTTATAGGACCTCTCTCCTTGGTGTTGTAGGACCTCTCTCGCTGGTGTTGTAGGACCTCTCTCACTGGTGTTGTAGGACCTCTCTCACGTGTAGGGCCTCCCTCACTGGTGTTATAGGACCTCTCTCTGCTGGTGTTGTAGGACCTCTCTCACTGGTGTTGTAGGACCTCTCTCACTGGTGTTGTAGGACCTCTCTCACACTGGTGTTGTAGGACCTCTCTCACTGGTGTTGTAGGGCCTCTCTCACTGGTGTTATGGGACCTCTCTCCCTGCTGTTGTAGGGCCTCTCTCACTGGTGTTGTGGGACACTCTCTCACTGGTGTTGTAGGGCCTCTCTCTCGCTGGTGTGGGGCCTCTCTCACCGGTGTTGTAGGCCTCCCTCACTGGTGTTGTAGGACCTCTCCACAGGTGTTGTGGGGCCTCTCTCACTGGTGTTGTAGGGCCTCTCTCACTGGTGTTGTCGGACTCTCTCACTGGTGTTGTAGGCCTCCCTCACTGGTGTTGTAGGGCCTCTCTCACTGGTGTAGGGCCTCTCTCACTGGTGTTGTAGGACATCTCTCACTGGTGTTGTAGGGCCTCTCTCACTGGTGTTGTAGGGCCTCTCACTGGTGTTGTGCCTCTCTCACTGGTATAGGACCTCTCTCGCTGGTGTTGTAGGACCTCTCTCACCTGGTGTTGTAGGACCTCTCTCACTGGTTGTAGGGCCTCCCTCACTGGGTTATAGGACCTCTCACTGGTGTTGTGGGGCCTCTCTCACTGGTGTTGTAGGGCCTCTCTCACTGGTGTTTTAGGACCTCTCACTGGTGTTGTAGGCCTCCTCTCACTGGTGTTGTAGGCCCTCTCTCACTGGTGTTGTAAGGCCTCTCTCTGGTGTTGTGGGACCTCTCTCTCACTGGTGTTATGCGACCTCTCTCACTGCTGTTGTAGGGCCTCTCTCACTGGTGTTGTAGGACCTCTCACTGGGTGTAGGATCTCTCTCACTGGTGTTGTAGGGCCTCTCTCACTGGTGTTGTAGGGCCTCCTTCACTGGTGTTGTAGGATCTCTCTCACTGGTGCTGTAGGGCCTCTCTCACTGGTGTTGTAGGACTCTCTCATGGTGTTGTAGGGCCTCTCTCACTGGTGTTGTAGGGCCTCCCTCACTGGTGTTATGGGACCTCTCTCACTGCTGTTGTAGGGCCTCTCTCACTGGTGTTGTAGGACATCTCTCACTGGTGTTGTAGGCCTCTCTCTCACTGGTGTTGTAGGGCCTCTCTCACTGGTGTTATGGGACCTCTCTCACTGTGTTGTGGGCCTCTCCACTGGTGTTGTGGGACCTCTCTCACTGGTGTTGTAGGATCTCTCTCACACTGGTGTTGTAGGACCTCTCTCACTGGTGTTGTAGGGCCTCTCTCACTGGTGTTGTAGGACATCTCTCACTGGTGTTGTAGGGCCTCTCTCACTGGTGTTGTAGGGCCTCCCTCACTGGTGTTATGGGACCTCTCTCACTGCTGTTGTAGGGCCTCTCTCACTGGTGTTGTAGGACATCTCTCACTGGTGTTGTAGGGCCTCTCTCACTGGTGTTGTAGGGCCTCTCTCACTGGTGTTGTAGGGACCTCTCTCACTGGTGTTATGGGACCTCTCTCACTGCTGTTGTAGGGCCTCTCTCACTGGTGTTGTAGGACATCTCTCACTGGTGTTGTAGGGCCTCTCTGGTGTGGGCCTCTCTCACTGGTGTTATGGGACCTCTCTCACTGGTGTTATGGGACCTCTCTCTCACTGCTGTTGTAGGGCCTCTCTCACTGGTGTTGTGGGATCTCTCTCACTGGTGTTGTAGGATCTCCTCACTGGTGTTGTGAGGTCTCTCTCACTGGTGTTGTAGGATCTCCCTCACTGGTGTTGTAGGATCTCTCTCACTGGTGTTGTAGGATCTCCCTCACTGGTGTTGTAGGATCTCTCTCACTGGTGTTGTAGGTCCTCTCTCTCAGGTGTTGTGGGATCTCTCTCACTGGTGTTGTGGTCCTCTCTACAGGTGTTGTAGGATCTCTCTCACTGGTGTTGTAGGACATCTCTCACTGGTGTTGTAGGGCCTCTCTCACTTGTGTTGTAGGACATCTCTCACTGGTGTTGTAGGGCCTCTCTCACTGGTGTTGTGGGACCTCTCTCACTGCTGGTGTAGGGCCTCTCTCACTGGTGTTGTAGGACATCTCTCACTGGTGTTGTAGGGCCTCTCTCCTGGTGTTGTAGGGCCTCTCTCCTGGTGTTATGGGACCTCTCTCACTGCTGTTGTAGGCCTCTCTCACTGGTGTTGTAGGATCTCTCTCTGGTGTTGTAGGATCTCTCTCACTGGTGTTGTAGGACATCTCTCACTGGTGTTGTGGGCCTCTCTCACTGGTGTTGTAGGACATCTCTCACTGGTGTTGTAGGCCTCTCTCACTGGTGTGTAGGCTCTCTCACTGGTGTTGTAGGGCCTCTCTCTGGTGTGGGACATCTCTCACTGGTGTTGTAGGCCTCTCACTGGTGTTGTAGGATCTCTCTCACTGTGTGTAGGCCTCTCACTGGTGTTGTAGGCCCTCTCTCTCACTGGTGTTGTAGGATCTCTCTCTCACTGGTGTTGTAGGGCCTCTCTCACTGTGTTGTAGGGCCTCTCTCACTGGTGTTGTGAGATCTCTCTCACTGGTGTTGTAGGATCTCCCTCACTGGTGTTATGGGACCTCTCTCACTGGTGTTGGGGATCTCTCCTGCTGTTGTGGATTTCTCACTGGTGTTGTAGGGCCTCTCTCACTGGTGTTGTAGGATCTCTCTCACTGGTGTTGTAGGATCTCCCTCACTGGTGTTGTAGGATCTCTCTCACTGGTGTTGTAGGATCTCTCTCACTTGTGTTGTAGGACCTCTCCACTGGTGTTGTGGGCCTCTCTCAATGGTGTTGGGATCTCCTCACTTGTGTTGTAGGACCTCTCACTGGTGTTGTAGGGCCTCCTCACTGGTGTTGTAGGACCTCTCACTGGTGTTGTAGGACATTCTCACTGGTGTTGTGGGGCCTCTCTCACTTGTGTTGGAGGACCTCTCACTGATGTTGTGGGCCTCTCTCACTGGTGTTGTAGGTCTCTCTCACTGGTGTTGTGGGATCTCCTCACTGGTGTTGTGGGCCTCCTCCACTGGTGTTAGCCTCTCTCACTGGTGTTGTGAGGCTCTCTCACTTGTGTTGTAGGACCTCTCACTCGTGTTGTGGGGCCTCTCTCACTGGTGTTGTAGGATCTCTCTCACTGGTGTTGTGGGGCCTCCCTCGCTGGTGTTGTAGGACCTCTCTCACTGGTGTTGTGGGGCCTCCTCACTGGTGTTGTAGGGCCTCTCTCACTGGTGTTGTAGGATCTCCTCTACTGGTGTGTGAGGCTCTCACTGGTGTTGTGGATCTCTCTCACTGGTGTTGTAGGACATCTCTACTGTGTGGGCCTCTCTCACTTGTGTTGTAGGACCTCTCTGTGTTGTAGGGCCTCTCTCACTGGTGTTGTGGACCTCTCTCCTGTTGCTGTTGTTGTCCTCACTGGTGTTGTAGGACATCTCTCACTGGTGTTGTAGGATCTCTCTCACTGGTGTTGTAGGGCCTCTGTCACTGGTGTTGTAGACATCTCTCACTGGTGTTGTAGGGCCTCTCTCACTTGTGTTGTGGAGGACCTCCCTCACTGGTGTTGTAGGATCTCTCTCACTGGTGTTGTAGGTCCTCTCTCACTGTGTTGTAAGGCCTCCGTCACTGGTGTTATAGGACCTCTCTCACTGGTGTTGTGGGATCCCCTCACTGGACTCCCTCACTTGTGTTGTAGGACCTCCTCAGTAGTAGAAGTTAGGTTAACTTTATCTGCAGCTCTCGACTCTTCCTCATGATGACCCAGGCAGCGACAAGATGGCCAACGGACGTGTCCTCACCCATGGTGGTCAGGATGTCTGTGGATGGTGTGTGTGTGTGTGTGTGTGTGTGTGTGTGTGTGTGTGTGTGGTGTGTGTTGTGTGTGTGTGTGTGTGTGTGTGTGTGTGTGTGTGTGTGTGGTGTGTGTGTGTGTGTGTGTGGTGGGTGTGTGTGTGTGTGTGTGTGTGTGTGTGTGTGTGTGTGTGTGTGTGTGTGTGTGTGTGTGGTGTGTGTGTGTCTGTGTGTGTGGTGTGTGTGTGTGTGTGTGTGTGTGTGTGTGTGTGTGTGTGGTGTGTGTGTGTGTGTGTGTGTTGTGTGTGTGTGGTGTGTGTGTGTGTGTGTGGGTGTGTGTGTGTGGGTGTGTGTGTGGTGTGTGTGTGTGTGTGTGGGTGTGTGTGTGTGTGGTGTGTGTGTGTGTGTGTGTGTGTTTGTTGGTGGCGTGTGGTATGTGTGTGTGTGTGTGTGTGGTGTGTGCGTGGGTTGGTGTGTGTGTGTGTGTGTGTGTGTGTGTGTGTGTGTTCATAAAATGTAGTACTGTAGCTTGGTATGATTAAAGAAATAAACGAGTGTAGTGTTTATCCTTCTCGGTACACAGGACTAGGAACATGTATCGCCTTCAAACCAGACGACGTGTCAGAGGTCTTGCTTGGTGTGGACACGGGTTCTGTTTACCAGCTGTCCACATCTTGCCCCTCTCACACCCTCACCCGCTACCCCGCCCACACCGCCTCCGTCAGGGACATCGCCTGGAACCATTACCACTACAAGGTCTTCATCACCTGTTCATTGGACTGGACTGTAAAGATCTGGCTTCAGTATATCCTGTGAGTTTGTCTTCACTTTACTCTGTTTTCTCTCGTTTGGGGAGTTGTGGTCTGGGGTGTATAAGTTGTTGTTATTACAGGCACTAATGGTGGTGAGGGAATGTGCCAACTTATTCTTTTCTTTTCCTCGGCTGTTTTCCTGATAACCAACAACTTTTATGATTTTAAGCATGAGATAGAGAGATTAGATTCCCAGACTATACTTGTCATACAGCTCACCCCTGATGACTCTGGATATGGGCGGGGCAGTGGCAGGCGTGCAGTGGGCGTCTTACAGCAGTAGTGTCTTCGTGGCAGTGACTGATGACGGCTGTGTCCACGTGTATGATCTCTTCCTACGCAAGACTCACCCCATGTGCTCCCAGAGGCTTCTACGACGACGCCAGATGATTGTATCCTGTCTCTCGCTCAGTCCCTGGTACCCCGTCATACTGGTTGGAGGAGAGAGGTGTAGGAAGAGACAGAGGGTGAGGTGAGAAGAGAGGTGAGGTGTAGGTGAGGGTGTAGAGAGGGTGAGGTGCAGGAGGAGGTGTGGGTGTGGAGGTGTGGGAGTGAGGTGTGGAGAGGTGTGGGTGTGTGGGTGTGGGGGGGGAGAGAGGGATGGTATTTGGTCTTACAAGTCATCAAGTGAAGGAGGTGCTAATGGTGAGAGATGATCACGTCTTGTTGACAGAGAGATACAACTGTAAACGAGAAATGTCTCTGTGATGATGATGTGTGTGTAGACCTGTACTATCGCTGAGATGATTATGACAGTAGTGTATGGAAGAAGATTAAAGTCATGTCAGTAGTGTATGGAAGAAGTTGATTAAAGTCATGTCAGTAGTGTATGGAAGAAAGTTGATTAAAGTCATGTCAGTAGTGTATGGAAGAATTGATTAAAGTCATGTCAGTAATGTATGGAAGAAAGTTGATTAAAGTCATGTCAGTGTGTATGGAAGAAAGTTGATTAAAGTCATGTCAGTAGTGTATGGAAGAAAGTTGATTAAAGTCATGTCAGTTTGTGGGTGATTAAAGTCATGTCAGTAGTGTATGGAAGAAAGTTGATTAAAGTCATGTCAGTAGTGTATGGAAGAAAGTTGATTAAAGTCATGTCAGTGGTGTATGGAAAAGTTGATTAAAGTCATGTCAGTAGTGTATGGGAATTGATTAAGTCATGTCAGTAGTGTATGGAAAAAGTGATTAAGTCATGTCAGTGGTGTATGGAAGAAAGTTGATTAAAGTCATGTCAGTAGTGTATGGAAGAAAGTTGATTAAAGTCATGTCAGTGGTGTATGGAAGAAAGTTGATTAAAGTCATGTCAGTAGTGTATGGAAGAAAGTTGATTAAAGTCATGTCAGTAGCGTATGGAAGAAAGTTGATTAAAGTCATGTCAGTAGTGTGTGGAAAAAAGTTGATTAAAGTCATGTCAGTAGTGTATGGAAGAAAACTGATTAAAGTCATGTCAGTAGTGTATGGAAGAAAGTTGATTAAAGTCATGTCAGTAGTGTATGGAAGAAAGTTGATTAAAGTCATGTCAGTGGTGTATGGAAGAAAGTTGATTAAAGTCATGTCAGTAGTGTATGGAAGAAAGTTGATTAAAGTCATGTCAGTAGTGTATGGAAGAAAGTTGATTAAAGTCATGTCAGTAGTGTATGGAAGAAAGTTGATTAAAGTCATGTCAGTAGTGTATGGAAGAAAGTTGATTAAAGTCATGTCAGTAGTGTATGGAAGAAAGTTGATTAAAGTCATGTCAGTAGTGTATGGAAGAAAGTTGATTAAAGTCATGTCAGTAGTGTATGGAAGAAAGTTGATTAAAGTCATGTCAGTAGTGTATGGAAGAAAGTTGATTAAAGTCATGTCAGTAGTGTATGGAAGAAAGTTGATTAAAGTCATGTCAGTAGTGTATGGAAGAAAGTTGATTAAAGTCATGTCAGTAGTGTATGGAAGAAAGTTGATTAAAGTCATGTCAGTAGTGTATGGAAGAAAGTTGATTAAAGTCATGTCAGTAGTGTATGGAAGAAAGTTGATTAAAGTCATGTCAGTAGTGTATGGAAGAAAGTTGATTAAAGTCATGTCAGTAGTGTATGGAAGAAAGTTGATTAAAGTCATGTCAGTAGTGTATGGAAGAAAGTTGATTAAAGTTTGTCAGTAGTGTATGGAAGAAAGTTGATTAAAGTCATGACAGTAGTGTATGGAAGAAAGTTGATTAAAGTCATGTCAGTAGTGTATGGAAGAAAGTTGATTAAAGTCATGTCAGTAGTGTATGGAAGAAAGTTGATTAAAGTCAATCTATTAGTAGAGAGGTATCTGGAGTTTGTACAAGCGCATATCATCTGAAGATTAGTCCCCAGATTATTTAACCTTAATCCTAACCTAAGCTAACCTAATCTATCATAACCTCTCCAAATTTCACCAGTAGATGATTTTAAGACTAACTGTATTTAGTTTCTATTTCATGTTACTATGGTCACTTAAGTCTGTTTAATTGCTCAATACTAACTGATAACAACACTAGAAATATATTTTGTATTCTTTATTTTTTCAATATACAATCTTTATTCATTCATGTCTTTGTATTTCAGAGGTTATTTGCTGGCTTTGAAGTTATCTCCAAATCTCAGAAAAATTTACAGTAATCCAAAAGGCTTTGAGGAATTACCTACCAGAGAAATAGAATTGTCTAAGTTGGAGAGGATCATCGCTGTCACCAGAGGCGTCAAGATGAGGTCCGATGCTTGTGTTGAGGAAGAGAGGCCAGAGAAGTATAATGACTCACCAGTAAGCGGTATTATTATGTAAATTATCAAGAGGAGACAACAGGCGGAGGATAAGAGCTAACAATTCCTGATGTTAATTGTTAAGTACTGAAGAGGAATGAAGGACATGTGAAGAAGCACTGCGGGGGAGAACAAGAGAAGACAAAACGGCGTATAATTAGTTCCGATTTATTAAACTTAGTGAGGTTTTTACTTGTGTTTACTTTTATCGGACCGTCTCGTATATTGAATCAACAAGAATTGTAATACAAGAGTTACCTACAGAAGAAAAACTCGAGTGAGGGTAGATAGCCAATAAGTACTGTATATGCTGGCTGTAATAGAGAAATTGGAGGAATTTCAAATAAATATAGAAGGAACGCAAACTACTGTACAAAGGATACCTGAACGAAATCTTAAGTAGTGCTTCCAAGTTCATGTAAGAAGGTTTAAGAATCATGCACAGATTAAACCCTAACGGTACTGGGGGATTTACGTTACGTTAGGGTGGTGGTTAATCTTAAGGTGAAATTAGCTGGTGGCAGGGGGGGGGGGCTAAAATTAATTTCCAGGTGATCCGGCAAAATATATTCAAGAAGACCCAAAAATTCGTCTCTTCTTTTCAACCTTGAGCAAACTTGTCCCCCACTAGTTCAGTCTGCAGGCTATAAACTAAAGATAGAAATGTTGTCATGTACAGAGTAATACATATCAAGCAGTACATGACACCAGTACTTGATACCAGCACATGGCACCATTATATGACACCATCATATGACACCAGTACGGAACACCAGCATATGACACCAGCACATGATAGCAGCACATTGTTACATCTTACTGGAGAAGAAATATATTAATGTAGTAGGTTGTGTGTGTGTGGTCTATCAAGTGTGTATAAGGCTGACTGGGTTTTCCTCGCCCGCCTTCCCTCCTCTTCCCTTCATACCGGTACTATAGTCAACAACTCGATTTTTTTTACCGCATTATACTGTATAACCAAATGGGAAAATTATAAAGGTTTTAATAGCTTAGAGGTGTATATATATATATATATATATATATATATATATATATATATATATATATATATATATATATATATATATATATATGCAAATAAATCACTGTAGGTAGCGTGATCCAGGTATAGGTGGTTATATATATATATATATATATATATATATATATATATATATATATATATATATATATATATATATATATATATATATATATATATATATATATATATATATATATATATATATCTTCTCAAAATATTTCTATGAATGATTGCCTCCATTGCTAGGTCATTGTCATTATCCCTAACGACTAAACAATAACTGGTGGAGGTAAAATGATCATTTAAATATAGCCCTTTACTATAAACACCAAATTACAGTATATCTAAGCATACCATCCGTATACAATGTCGTACTGTACACGTAAGCCAATACAGACGGTGTACAGCTGGTGGTGGGCTGTTCAGTGTTGGTATACATTTTAGTGAACATATTCAGAGGAGTATTTTAGAAAGAAGAGAAACTCATCTCTCATATATACCATCTGGCTAAGCTAAATGACCATGATCATTGCTTGAAGTAATATTTTTCCCTTCTTATATAAGACCGAAAACTACAAAAAATGGTTTTCTAATATTCAAAGATTTTCTAATAATTTATTTATTTAAGAAAAGGTTAAACGTATAATTGTCTTGGTTATAAACAAGTTCTCAAAAGAAACAAAATGTTTACTTACGATTTTGATATTGGTAATAACACACAGCGCAGGTAAAGGAGTGTAGCGGCTTGTTTGGTTGTTACGGTGTCTGCTGGGGGAAAAATCGGGGTCTCGATGATTCACAAACTATGAAGCTGGTTTTTGAGCTCAAGAAATTTAGACAAAATATTTTATTACCTCGACTTTCTTGGAATAATTTTAATGACATTAAATTTTGGACTAGAGTTTCCAATGTCTAATAGCACTTTAACGCCAAGGTGAAAAATAATACCTGCGGAATTTGAAGTTTTTCGTACGAACGGATTCACTGAGCAAAGAGTGAAGCTTTTGGAGGTTCACATGCGCCTCAGAGCTCTGGAGGAGGTACTGCTAGTGCTACTTGTGAACAGGGCTGTGCCCTTCTGAGGGCAGAGTTAGAGAGGACTAAGGAAGAAAACTTAAAACTAACGGAAGAGAGAGAGAGGATGAAGAAGGAAGCGAGACAAAGAAACCCAGTGTCTGACGAAAAATCAGACGAATGGAAGGTTGTGAGGAGAGGTACAACCAAACTGATGGTGAAAAAAGACACCAAGAATACGACAAAAACAGGTAAGTGTACCAACTATTTCAGTCCTTTGGTAGACAAATTGGACGTCAGCATAGTCAGGGACAAGGCTGACAAGGAAGGTACGAAAACCTTAAATGTTGGCGATTCCCAGGTACGGTACCTGGACACAGCGTGGTATAAATAAAAATAGGATGAGGGTGTGTTTGCCAGGAGCTGGGGTGGGGAATATAGTTGACAGGATGAACAATATCTTGTCTGGTAATGGGAACAAACCCATTATCTGCCTCAGTGCAGGAGGTAATGATATTGGCCGGTGTAGGAGTGAGGAGCTTCTTGATAAGTTAAAGACAGCTATAGAGCGTATTAGGTCGAAGGGAGGGATCCCTATCATATGTGGTGTCCTGCCTAGAAGGAGAATTGGCAATGAATGGCTGTCAAGGGCAGTTGGTGTCAACGGCCGTCATGACGGGTATTGCAAGTCCCATTCATTGACAACTGGGACAACTTCTATAGCAGAAGGGACCTTTATACTAGGGATGGGGTGCACCTGTCTCGGGAGGGGGTGGCAACCCTGGCTGGCTCTCTCGAGAGGGCAGTTTAAAAGATGTCAAAGTTTTTAAACTGCTAAGAGAACATATGAGCACGGAGGTGGAGGAGACTGCAGTGGGAGCGAGTAAACATAGTGAATGGTTACAGGGAAATAGTGCTAGGAATTATGGCAAAACAAATTAGGCAGGGAATTGAAATATAAACGCGACAAAGAGAGGACTCAGAACACTACTAACTTAAATGTCTACTACGCTAACAGTAGAAGTATGAAAAACAAAATATATGAAATCAGGGCGTTGGCATGTACCGAAAAAATCGATATAATAGCATTCACCGAAACATGGATAAACTTAGACTCACGTGAGTTACCTGTCGAATACCAAATTGCAGGTTACAAATTATTTCATACCGATAGGCAGATTAGGGAAGGAGGCGGAGTAGCAATTTATGTCAGGGATAATCTGAAGTGTGAAATGAATAAGGTAATGAAAACAGAAAGGAATGCAGAAACAATTTGGATAGAACTAATCGATGGTAGAGAAATTAATCACAGGAGTAATATATAGACCTCCTAATCTTGATAGAGTTAATGAGGGACTTATTTGGTATGAAATGCGCAGGGCTTCCATACATAGCAAAGTCTGTACAGTAGGCGATTTTAACTTTAGCCAAATAGATTGAATTGACCTTACGGGTAACTCAGAATTAGAAGATTTTATTGAAACAATCCACGACTGTTTTCTAAGCCAACATATAACCGAACCCATTCGGGATAATAATATACTCGATTTAGTTCTGTCAAACAGAGAAAACCTCATTAATATTGCCAAGGTAGTTAGAATTTCAGGGCAGCCGTAAGGAAAATTCCACTAAAGCTTCCTAACCTTTTAAAAATCATAAAACTATAAAGTTTACTTTATTCGTGTTTTCGGTGTTTATTATGCGTTGTTTTCGGTGTTCAGATGAGGAAGGATCCATAAACTCGGGTGATTCTTAAAATTTTTACAAGTTTGAAGGGTTAGGTAAAGTTTTCAAAGATTTGTTTGGTGTTCTTTTTAGGTATTTTACCCCCCATTTACCCTCTACTTTAAAGCCCTGCCCACTTTGGTAAATATCCCACTTTGAACAACTAATATTGTGGGTATCTATCGGTTGAAATACACGGAAAAATAAAAAATTCCGACGGAAAAGTTAAATAAAATATTCTTAGTTTTTCTCCATTTATAAGACTCAATATATAAGTAGGTGTTGGCAACTTCTAAATATTAACCATATGTTTAGATTGTCAAATACAGTATAAGATATACAGCTCCTATCTGTGTTGAACAGTGGTGAGGTGAGGGAGAGAGGGAAGGTTCACAGTTGCTCACCATGATATGAGCATTCATAGGTTACATAACACCTCAGTGTGACAACTATAAGGTTGACTCTAGCTATTGTTAGATAGACTACAATGTTACGAACACATGAATGCATCACTGAAAGAGACGTAGAGTGAGGGGCAATATGATCGAGGTGTTTAAATGGAAGTCAGGGCTAAACAAAGGTGATATAACGAAGGTACTCAAGTTATCCAACCAGGAGCGAACTCGTAGCAGTAGTTTTAAATTAGATAAATTTAGATTTAGGCGCGAGATAGGTAAACATTGGTTTAGAATATAATGGCTGAGTGGAAAAAGTTAGCAAACATCATCTTAACTCGAATACGCCGGATAGCTTCAAACAACGGTTGGGTGGATATGTGAGCGAAAGGGGTTGGGCGTAAATGGGTCTGCCCAGTATGGGCCAATAAGCCCGCTGCTGTTTCCTCCATTCTTATGTTCTCATTACTTTTATCCTCTTCACCACTCATCGGCTCGTTAGCCGCTTGGGCGATCAGTCACGTCTCTGTTATGCACAGTTGGCAAGTACTGGGCATGCACCTGCTCCTGAATGTACCTGAACCTTCTCCAGTGCTTGTCAAGTATGGTCTTGAAAGAAATCACACTCGGTGCCGTCACAACACTCTCTGGCATATTGTTCCAAGAGTTCACAACTCTCACTCCGAAAAAGTTACCCCTCACAGTTTTCTGGGCTTGCGGCTTCTTCAACCTTGAGCTGTGACCCCTTGTGGGGTGAGCGTCCGCCAGCTCCAGGTAAAGGCACTCGACTTATACATCTCAATTAGGTCTCCCCTTGCCCGTCTAGAGTATAAGCAAGGCAATTTTAGGGTAGCTGAAGTGCTGTAGTGCCGGCACCAGTCTGGAGGCCCTCCTTTGGACATTTTCAATCAACTGACAGTCCCTAGCATATCTCGGGGACCAGACGGGGTGACAGTACTTCACTCTTGAAGATCTTTACGAGGGACCTTCTTATAAGACTTAAAAATTTTGTTGCCTGATTTACCTTCTTCTCACAATGGCCCGAGAACTTCAGCTCATTGTCAACATACACACCTAGGTCATTCTTACATTCAGTCTCAAATAGTGCAGTTTCTTCGTCCCGTTGGGACATATGATACGCCTCCTTACTATTTGTTCGTCCCAGGTGCATCCTCTTACACTTCATGAGATTGAATCTCAGCGGCCATTTCTTCGACCATTCTTGGAGCCCACAGAGGTCCTACTGCAGCTCTTCACAGTCCGCTTGG